GGGGTGAATTTGTTGCTGAAACATACCCCTGATAATTTTTGTGTAAATAGCATGATATTTTAACCACTACGGGCTTGATAGGTTACCTAGAATCACCATGATAACTTTTTGTTCCAGGAAAAAGTTGTTCAAAACATCCCCAATAATTTTTGTGTAAATAACATGATAATATAAGCACTGCATAACCGATAACTTGCAATATAAACATGATGGTAACTTTTTACCAAAGGAAAATAAGTTGTTAAAAACATACACTCACCTCGCGCGTGGGCCTTTTGGATGAACACAACACATGGCGTGCCACAGGAAAGTCACATAATGTTTAATGTCATGAGGGACACACGTGCTATAGGCGTGATAAGTTACGCAAAAACATCGTGATAATTTTTGACCTACGGAAAAAGCTACCGAAACTATAGGCGTGATAATTTTAGGTGCAAGTATCATGATAATATACGAACTGTAGACCCGGTAACTCATGTACAATCCCCCATGGTAACTTTGACCGGGGGGAGGTTGATACCATGGTAACTTTGTCCTGAGGAGAAATCATGTGGTAGACGTGAAGAAGTGACTGTTTTCTCGGAGGTGGGCGCCCGAGATGTGCAGGAGAAGCAAGTTTCTCGGGCGAGCCTACGGGGTCGTTTGGGAGAAGGCGAGGTCAAAGGACGAGGGATCGTGTGATACTTTAAAATGAAAGAAGTAGAGGTGTGTCAGTTTTGCTTATATGGCACACGTGTGCCAAATATCACAGTCTTTTTTTAATAAGAGTAGAGATACTTTCTAGCCACAGCCTTTCTACAAGTTATTGGATTTCAATAAGTTTATGCTGAGACGGAGGTCCGAAGGCCACATTGTTTGCTCACAGCATGGCAATGATGCATTTAGAAGGAAGAAGATTTCGGCACCTTTTACAGTGTCAGAAAATGTTTTATATTTTGAAATAGATAAAGTATCTTTAAATTTCTGCAAAGACATTTTTAAAAAGTCTATACTACTTAATACATGGTCTTTTGACCTTCTGAAAAAGAAAATCGAGCTATTTTTTCTTTGCTTCGCTGCGATGGTGCAGTGGAAACTAGCCCGTGCACCTATCTCGGAGACTCGGAGGTGTGGTCTGACGCAGCGTTGTGTTTCCACAAGTCGAGGCGCCGAAGCCATCGATGGATCCATATATAAAGCACCCAAGCTGGCCCGGAGAGCCAGCGTACGTAGATTTGCTCGCACCGCAAAGTTGGCAGCCACTCCACGGAGCCGACCATGCCGCAGTCTGGCCGGGCGATGAGGCGCATCCGCAAGGAACTGGAGCTGCTCTGGATCGACCGCCCGGCCTTCTGCCGGCCCGGCCCGGCGCCCGTGACGGACCTGTTCCACTGGGAGGTGGTCATCGACGGCCCCCACGGCAGCCCCTACGCCGGCGGCACCTTCCCCGTCGGCGTCGCCTACCCCAAGGACTACCCCTTCCACCCCATCAAGCTCACCTTCAGAACCAATGTGAGTCGGCCGGCACTGGCCTCTAGCTGCATGCATGCTTCATCCATAAAAGATCGACCGATCGATCGGCATCTGTACGTATGACCGCGCCAAAACGATCGATTGGTCAATTGCTCATAGTAATATCTATTGGAAAACGCTTGAAAACAGCCGACTTATTTTAACGCGAAGCATCCGTCGCCTGCTGCGCCGTCCCATGAATGCTTGCTTGCGATTCCTTGTGAGCACGCTGCGAGCTTGATTTGACTTTTCAGCGCACCCATGACACTGTAACTACTGTAATTACTAATCCTGTGCATGCTGATAGCTACTCGCTGTTATGACGACAAAATTGGGAAAAAAATTGGGTGGAGACGGGCTGCAAACCTCCTCCCGTGCGTACCCGCTCTAATCTATCGCCACTTGTCGTACCAATGCATCACGGCATCCGCTCGCGCCCGCTGTAGCGCTCCTTTCTTCGGCTCGATTCTGTCGCTCCCGGCGCTTCCGCTCGGCTCGATTGGTAAGCTGCTATATCGGCTCAAGAAACCGAACACAATCCCCATCTTGTTCCACGTCCAGCGGACAGCCAAGGCCGAGCGATGCCGACGGAGCGAGGTGGCGGCGCCCACGGAGAGCGGCGGCGACGGCGGACCAGGAGGCACCATGGGCACCTATGCCCACGACTCCACGAGTGATGCGTGTCTGTGGGAGAGCTGCTCAAACTGTTGGCGTCAGAAGACCTAGATCAGATGGCAGCCGCCTTGGCGGGCGAAGTTGGGCATGGAGGCGCCCTTGCTGGCTCACGGCGTGCAGCGCCCGCTCAGCGAGTATGTGCGTGCATGGCGCCGGCGTGCTCTCGTAGCTTGAGCTCGCTGGATATGATATCCGTGTTCACCAACTGAATGAATTCAGTTTCCGATTGAAAAGAAGAGTAGCTTTTCACTGATGAACCAGCGCCTTCCATAATAGTTTGATTTTCTAGCTTTGTGGTCGTTGCAATTTTCTTGTCAACGGGCATCACAATTGTAATATCCTCTCTCCATAGAGCATGGCTATAATAGTTGAGCGAGTATAATTTTCAGATTTCAACTCTGTATGATATTACACTGTATTTCTATTATCAATAAGCAAAATAGTTTCCCTTTTATTGCAGCAGCTGTTCATGTCCGTTTCCTGGATTGCATTGTTATGTGCTCTATGTTGCCGACACCATCACATGCAACTTGTTTGTGTTCCACAAAGCCTCCTACAGTTTAGATGTCAGAGTTTTTTTTAACTTCTCCTACACAATATTATTTCTGCATTATCATGGCCTGCTATGAGGTCTGAAAAGATGTCAAAATGCTCGCTGACGTTCTGCTCAATGGATTGCAAGGAAGCATGTTCTTTTGGTTACAACATACTTTCTTCAGTGAATTTCAAGATTCAGAAACTTATAATGAAAATAATAATGATGCTCTATTGTAAATTGATCAGAATTATTGACTGTAATTTTTCTGATCTGTAAAAGGATAGATTCTTGCAAATGGATTCAAATTGGACTGAAATTTAAACACCAATGAGTAGCATTCCAGTAAAGCATTAAATAGATAATCCTGTAGATATTACAAAGCAAGGTTCCATATTTTCATGATTTGGCACTCCATCAGAATGATAGAGCAAATTGTTCTCGAAAGCATATGGAAAATCGTCAAACTTCAACCATGTCACACTCACATGTTAAAACAGAAAACATGCTACAGGTCCAGAACTGCTATTTATCGAAATGTAACTTTCTAACGGACGAGGACAATGTGGCTTCTTGTTGAACTCCATGTAGAAGACTTGTAAATCCGCCTTGGACGAAAGGAGCAGGCATGGCCGAAGGCTGCCCGTACACATCTGTTGAGAATGTTAGCATGGATGCATTAACATATCCGCCTTCAATAAACGGAGAAGCCATGGTCGAAGGCTGACCATACAAGTCACTTGATAATGTTGGCATTGAGGCAGTAGCATATCCGCCTTGGATCACGGAAGAACCTATGGTCGAAGGTTGCCAATGAACATCATTTGCAAAGTTTGTCATAGCGTCGATGCTACTAGCATTAAGGTCCTACATCATGGAAGATGAAAAAGTTTAAAACAACAGATTAAATACAATATGAAAGGAAAATAATGAGTACAAGGCATGTCTTACGATCAATTCATCTGGATCATTGTGTTCCTCTCTATTTTCTGTTGCATTCTTTGGATCTTCTCCTATAGTCAGACATACAAAAAAAATGACTATAGAAACATATACTGGATTATAGCTTTGCTAGATTGGGTACAATCGATCAATACCTTTCTTTTTAGAATTTTTCTTTTTATTTCCTTTCTTCCTTTCAAGAGAGATTTTTGATCGTTTACTCTTTGCGCCTTTTACCACCGGAGGCACTCTAAATGATACAATACCTTTTAATGTCTCTGCAACACACTCAGTCGAAACTAGCGGAACCTCGTTGGATTTTTCTTTCATCTTGCTAAGAGAATTATCTGCTTCCAAGTCCAACTTATCTATGGCTTTCTCCAAATCATCAAGAAGCTCTTTCACTGTCGAACATTTCAATGCAACAGATGTTGCCTTCCGTGAGATACGGGCCGCTTGTGTTTTCAAATTTTCCGTATCAGTTCCTTGCTTATCAATATAGAAGCCTCTCTTTGCATATTTTGTCCATCTGTTTAGTATATATTGCGATGGCAAAATGAACACATCGTTCATGTTGAAGACTTTGAGAGCATGCTTGCACAACAAACCTATCAGATATGCATTTCATATTTTATCAGCTTGTATTAAAAATCATATTGCAATAAAAAATGTGTACACATACCTATGGATTCAAACTTTCTGCAACAACATGTAACAGTCATATCTGTACTGTTGAATACAACTGTTGCTCCATGCTCGCTGCGCATATGTGTAACCATATATGTGAAGATTGGCCCTTCATTTGTTAGCAGTTTACACGAGAATGTGAATTGCATTTTAAATTCTTTCTCAAACTCGGAATACATCCTACTTGTATATGATTCAGCCGCGGTCTTCAACAATGGTAAACTGCTATAAGTAACCGGGCTCTTTCGACGCGAACTAAAATCTTCATCCAACTCATTCTCGCGAAGGCTCGCTGAAACCTTGTCACACTCTACAAGGAGTTCGGAAAGACCAAGTTTCCTACGGAATCTTTTCTTAAAGACATTATTCATTCCTTCGCTCCTTTGAGTCGAGTTCATATCAGCTGTAAATGAGTCACGATAAATTGCAGCCCACTTTCCCCTCAATTCATACAATTTTGCCATCCATTCATTGTCCTCAAGGTTATACTCCTCCAACAATTCTTGCCACTTCCTCTTGAAGATACATTCAGATCTGTCTTCATAGACACATCTCTTAAAATCCGATAGAAACTTCTCAGGATGCTTATGAATTACATGCCCGAGATGTTTAGCAGCATTTAGATAGATGTGCCACAAGCAAAGACGATGGCTTGTATATGGAAATACATAAGCAATTGCTCCGTCCATGGCCCTGTCTTGATCAGTAAAAATTGTGCTTGGATGCTTGCCTGACATTGCCGCGAGAAATGTCTCAAATAGCCAAACAAATGAATCAATGGACTCATTAAATATCAGTGCAGCCCCAAATATTACCGTCTGCTTGTGATGATTGGCACCAAGGATTGGAGCGAAAGGCAATTCGAACTTATTGGTATCAAACGTGGTGTCAAATGATACAGCATCACCAAAGCATGCGTAATCCATAATGGACTGACCATCTGCCCAAAAAAAATTAGCTATCTGACCATCCTTCTCATCTACTTGAATCGCATAAAAAAATTTGGATCCTCCCTCTGCTTATTCCTCAAGTATTCTAACAATGTTTTTGCATCATTGGATTCTAAATACTTCTTCCTTTCCTTACCAATCTCATTATTGCAATCCATTTTTGAGAATGGCACTTTGTCGACTCCTCCATAGAATGCTACCATGAAATCATACACCTGAGATGGCTTCATCCCAGCTTCACGTATCTGGCCAATTAGCGCTCTGTCGGCTTCTACAACACGTCGTTGGGACCTCAACTTGTGTGACTTATTGGGACTAGCAAGATAATGATTGTGATCTGTTACAACCTTTTGCACTGTCCAAATCCCCTCTCTACTGACACTAAATTGAACACGAGCCTGACAACCTGTTCTTGTAGTGGCCTTTGATGATTCGGTTTCTCGTTCTCCTTGATTACTGCAAACTATATATTTCTGGTATATAGTTTGATCTTGGCGGCGCTTTGTCTGGCTCTTTCTGATACTAAACCCAATCTTGCTGGCATACGTGTTGTACATGTCGTATGCTTTCTGCTCTGAATCGAACGACTTTCCCACTTCGGGAACAATCAAAGCTTGCCCAACTTTATCAACCACCTACAATAAAAAGTGTTGAGAATTAAAATTACATTACCACAATGTAAAATATATATTATGTTCTTCTTCACAACACATTAATTTTACATTAGGTGCGTCATGGACGGAATACTTTGTTTTGAATAAGCTATTGTACTATCAAGCCAAATATGAGCAAATCATTGTTTACAAAATTATTAATATGTCATCCCCAAATTGTTCATTACAGAGAAACATCTTATCTTGACTTCCTGATCTAGCTTTTGGCATGACAATGTACTGTAATGTACTATACACATGCAAGCTGAGATTGTTGTAAGGGACAATCTCAAAGAACCAGGCAACAACCATACCTGTTGTATCTCCTCTCCGTCAGCTCCACGACCACTGTCGATCACATCGTCCTCCTGGCCTCTTTCTCCAGTCATGTTGGTTGTGTCATACTCCTGATCTTCTGTTACGTGCGGTGGCGGCAAGTCTATGTCGCATGTTGCTGCCTCCGATGCCACTGTCGACAGCGGGCTGTACGAGGTGGAGCAGCGGCCGTCCTCATCCGCATGGTTTACATGATCCAAGGCGGCGATAGTGCCGGACTCCGGCGTGGTGACTCCCGTGCTTCTCGATGGAGGCAACACTTCACGCAGCGGGTGCACGACCCGGGGCGGCCATGGCTCTCGTTCCGGGCCGATGCAGCCATGGGAGAGAGAGGGCGGCAAGGCGTTCTGGCGTGGTGCGGCCATCCCCGACTCAGGGATCCCACGCCCACCAGTCCGATCGCGTGGTGTTGGAGAAGAGGGCTCCGATCGCTCAGCCATGGAAATTCCGATTATTGCGGAAGTGATAGATACGAGCCGCGTGGTTGTTTCTTGGAGCCGATGCGAGGTACTCGAGCCGAGAAACATACGCGCAGGGGCGGATGAGAGGCTAGCGTTAGATGGAGAGCAGGGACAAGTGGCGTTAGATTAGAGCGGGTACGCACGGGAGGAGGTTTGCAGCCCGTCTCCACCCAATTTTTTTCCCAAAATTGGAGTACCGTTGTTACTCCCTTAACTCTACAAATTAAGGCATAAATAAGGACAGGTATTTAGTGGTCAAATTGTGTCTATTTTTTTTAATTTAAAAATATTTAGATCGATTTAGGCTCGCACCAATGGACAATATTTAGCAGCCAAATAGGAACTGATATTTAGCGGCCAAATGATTATGTTTCATGTGGGGCCCGTCGACCGCTCTTCCATCTTAATTTTATTTTCATTTGGAAACTCCATTTTCGCATGTTTTTTATCGCCGACCCTTGCCTTTGTTTTCTGCATCAAGAAAGGTTGTCTAGTGCCTGCTTCTCCAAAGGTTGGTGGCTACTAGCTAGTGACGTTGTGACGGCGGCCAATGATGTTGCTCCAGTTGCGGTGTTGCGAGGCAATCCGAGTGAATGTTACAATGCAGCATCAGTTGTTGTTGCGAGGTCATCGGAGTTGCTACGACAAGTGTTGCGACGGGGCGGCTGCGCCACTGCGAGCTAGTATTGCGAGGACACCACCGTGCTTATACCCGGTGTTGCGAGGACGCGGATGCAGTATTACCTGGTATTGCGAGCAACCACTGTCATGTTTGTGAAACATGTTGAAAGCCAGTGTCGTGGGAGCGCCGCCATACTACGAGGCATGCTAAAGCCAATGCTACGAGGGGCGTCTCCATGCTATGAGAGTGACGTCGGTGCTGCGAGGCGATGTTGTGATGGGAGTCACAATGCTATAGGGACTATCGTCGTGTCGCGAGGCACACTACAAGCAAATATTGAGAGCCATGCTATGGGAGCGTCACTGATATTGTGAGCCATGTTGCGAGTGGTGACCAGATGTTGTGAGGGGGAGGCGCGGGTAGGGGAATCATGGGATGTATTGAGCACGAGACACACCGTGTGTGATTCGATGACTGGCCACGTTGCAAGTGGCGACCAGATGTTGTGAGGGGGAGGCACGGGTGGGGGAATCATGGGATGTATTCAGCACGAGACACACAATGTGTGATTTGATGACTGACCACGTTGCAAGTGGAGGGCATGCTGGTTTCAAGCCAAGACGCCGATGCTATAAGGACCGGCCACCGCAACTGCAAGCCTTGAGACGTAATGCTGCAAGGGCCGAAAAACATCGGCCAGACGTCCGCTCCTGCGAGGCCATTTAGTGACATTGTGAGTCGTTGCTGCAAGGCCGTTTAGTGATGTTGTGAGCCGCTGCTGTAAGGCCGTTTAGTGATGTTGTGAGTTGCTAAGAGGTCACCGGGGTTAATATGACGGACAGCGCTGCTGCGAGCTACTTGCCGCAAGGCTGTCGGAGATGGTACGACGGGTGGCGATGCTGTGAGGTTGACCGAGCTGCTTCGACGGACGGCGTTGTTGCGAGCTGGTGTGAGCCGATGTTGCAGGGCCGCTGGAGCTGCAGCGATGTACCGGTTGCTTCCATCACACGATGGTGATGCGTCGCTCGACAACCGGACGGTGTTATGGCCGCGATGATGGCATGCTTCCACGGCACGACGGTGTTGCGACCCTCGATGGGCTGCGGCGACGGTGTGCTTCCCCGACATGACCGTGCTGCAACGGATACTCCGTTGGTGTCTCGGCTGCAACGTGTAGCATCGATGCTGAGACGGCACCGCTGTGCTACCAGCCGGTGGTGCGACAGTACATGTGCTGCCACCCGGTAACGATCGACGTGCTACCAGCCGGTGTTGCGATGGTGCCGCCATGCGGCAACCCGGTGCTACGATGGGGAAGAACAAAGCAAGATAGTATTATATTCTACTAAACGAGGAGTGTTTATGTTGACTGGTCCGACCACAAGAAACAGTTAGGTCAAAGAGACATTTGTGTTGACACACCAACCGCCACCCACGCAACACAAGAACCAACGGTTGGCTTGTTCCATCGCATGGCTCGGAAGGCGGCTTAAAACTCGCACAAATCATCCGGCTGACGCCTAGTGCGGGTCATATCTATTCTGCACTGCAGGTGTACCACCCCAACATCGGCCCGGAGGGGAGGGTGGCGCTGGACATCTTCGGGAGCGAGTGGAGGCCTTCTCTCACGATCAGCACGGCCCTCCTCTCTGTCGTCTCGGTCCTCCACGACCCCCTGCTCGACCGCCCCGTCCGCCGCGACGCCGCCCTGCTGTACAAGCGCGAGCGGGGTCTCTTCGAGCACAAGGCCAGGGACTGGACCCGCAGGTACGCCTCGGCGCCGGTCGCCTCCTTCTATCCGGCGGGGACGGAGACGTTCGAGGAGGCGGCGGCCAGCGGGGCAGTGGCACGTCGTCGTTCTTGCGGGGCAGGGCAATGGCGCTCCTTCGCGGCTCGTCTCCCATGCATCCAGCCATGAATGCATGCACCACGTTTTTTTCCCGATAAAATGCATGCACCACGTACGATCATCGCCCAGCAAGAGCACAATAAAGTTCACCACAAGAATCCTCCATCCATAGAGTATTATTATACACGCACTAGCTACAGTAATTGGTAATTTCCGTAGAGTGTGTTGTCTTGATTACTTGTTGATCGATCCATGACCCTTGCTGGCTTTGGACCTTTGGCGTGGAACTCCTTGTGCTGCACCGAGGCGATTGCAACTTCTGAAAAAAGTATATATAGTCTGGTCTTTAGAGCATCTCCAACAACCACGCTAAACAAGCGCCGTGCCGCAAATTTGGCCATTTTAGCGCGCGGAACCCGCCAGATGTCTCCAGCGAGCGCGCAATAACCGCGCGCGCGGTATAAGGAGTTGGGCGCGCTGTCCGATTCGCTATCTCGCACGGTGTATTTGGGACGCCCGTTTCCGCGCGCGGCACACTCGAGCGCTCGCGCCGCACTCTCTCCTCTCCGCCTCCTACGCCCCGCGCGCGCCGGCGCCGGCGAACTGCACCCAATGGACGCACACGCCGGCACCCCGCTCACCCCATCCTATAGCCGCGACCCGTCCACCGCCGCCGCCGTCGCCGCCGCAAACCCTAGCGCGGGGCGTTGGCCTCACCTCCGCCGGAGCTCCTCCGACCATCGGCCTCATGCGGCCTCT